TCTCTGACTTGGAGTGCCCATGCAAATAGCACTGTCCCATCCACCATGTAGCATCACAGTGTCTAGAATTGTCATTGTGCCTCCATTCCTGGCCTAACCTGGATATACCATTCCATCCCCAATTCAAAAGTGTCTGTAAAAATATCATTGTCTCCACATTTTTGAATCTGCAACATTCCTCCCCATTCTGGGGTGTGTGATCTCCTTGGATTTCTTATTCCTCTAAAGAGCAGAACCAGCCAGTGAGATTATTTAGTAGGCCAGTATAGAACAATGATGATGTACAAAGTGCAGAAACTCACAGCAATCATAAATCACTTAGCTAATCTGATTCCACTAAAGTAAAATCTTATTGCAATGGGTTACTGCCTTTTATACATACCTGTTGCTCTATGAATTGTTTCAATGTACAGATTATTGAGCATGGAACATGGCTTTTTTACGTTCTGTGGTTTTGTTGCTTTAACACACCAAAAAAAGATGCCGAGGAGTATAAAATAAAGACGCCACAAGGTCCATGCACTTACCTGGGGCAGCTTTCAGTGCCCTCACTGTCCAAATTCTTGATTGTTCTAAGTTGAACAAAGCCTCAGCACCACTTGGTGGGGGCACAACTTGTCTACTGTCCCTTTTGAGCGGTGAGCTTTGGGGTAGGACACCTGAGAGGTGTTCTCCTGGTGTAGGAGGGAGGGTCTCATTTGAGTAGTGTGCTCCAGGGGTGTGTGTGTATTTGACTGATGTGCACTAGGTATGATGAAGGGGTGTGTTTTACTGGCACACTTTGTGGGGACGGTATCTGAGTGGGTCACTCCTCTAGAGAATATCTGAATTATATTCCTTCATCTTGCAGAATGCTGTATGAGAAACCAAACACTATGAGGCCTCTGTAAGTATTTTGTTTCTTATTTACCTTATTAATCCGTAGCTTGTGGATCATGTACAATACTGAGATGATGGTCTCTGTCTTCCACTCTCTTCCAGGAGGACAGACGTCTTGACAATGACACCTTGGTTCGCTCCTATTGTCTGGAATGGCACCTATAACTTGGACATATTAAATGCACAGTTCCATCAGAGAGAGGTCCGCATTGGTCTTACTGTGTTTGCTATTAAGAAGTAAGTTCAGAGCTGGTAAAAGTCAATCCTGTGCCATAACCTAGAAATTGTCTAGTTACCAGAGAAAATATTAATGGTGGAATTTGTGGAAGAGGCTCAGATAAGCTGCTCACTATATACTGATAACATTTTCTTGTGATCCACCCCACCCTGACTAATAGACTGGCGGAATCTACATATATCGAGTACTTTCCTTTGGATGAATTTAGGTTTTTTTCTCATCTTTTTAGGCAGAAAGATGATTTTCTGTATTAACCTGCTGTGGTGGTCAGTAACCACTATGGCGGGAGGTCCTGAAGGAAAGAATCTGTGCTGGATATCGGGCTCCAATCTAAATGTCTCCAATCTACTGGATTCTTAGTAAATTATATTTAGGATGTTGGCCATAAAGAATTGTTTGGAACATTTCATGCTGTAAAGCTGTTTATACTTGCTGTATTTGCTACTTGGTTCTGCTAGTAAATAACCCCAAGCACAGGTAAGCATGCAGGCGGCAATGAGCAGAACACTAGCCTATTACTGCCTTTCACATGGTTACCTATAACTTGTCGAGTAAAGTTTAAACAAGGCCTAAGATTAGGATTATGATATGGACCTTTGAGAAGTTGGATGAAAACATATTTTATTTATGAATCCAATCCAAATCTTGTAGCATGTCACCTTTTAGAGAAAAGCTCACCCCTGCATTACAGATTAAACATATGGAAAACACCATCACCTTTTAAATAGATATAAAACCAATTGTGTTGCTGGATCAGGAATCTAAACAGTTTTATATGGGATAGCCAGGATTACAGGTAAAAGAATCCAAAAAAGACCCTGATTGCCTTTCTGTGAGGAGCAATATACAAATTTGAAAGGATGTCACCAGCACACCATGGTAAAGTGAAATCAGCAAAAGTCCCTTTATTGATGGAATACTGCCATTCCAGTTCTTCTTCCTTCAGCAAAAGTCCCTTTATTGATGGAATGAAGAAGAACTGGAATGGCAGTATTCCATCAATAAAGGGACTTTTGCTGATTTCACTTTACCATGGTGTGCTGGTGCCATCCTTTCAAACTTGTATATCTTCACAGCACAATCCGGGGTCACTGCAAGCACCCGCCTAGATCTCACAGACCATCTTGTCCGGTAAGGAGTAGAGAAAAACACTTGCGTATGTAGGATTAAGGCTAGGTCCACATTATTGCGATGTGGTCATGTATTCAGGTATTCTTAGACGGTTGGGTTATACTGATGCCGTCAGGAGGAATTTGATATAGGTATTTCAAAAAGCTGTTGGCCAGCCATGTATAACCCCTCCCACTTCCAGAATGACTTTTTATATTGCTCAGCTTTTTATACGGCTGTTTAAATCCATGTTTTCTCAGCGATGCCTTGGAGGCTGTACCTGGACCCCGCTGGATCGAAGTTTGCAGAGCTCCCCTGGAACGTGACCTTCGGGCACTGCTTGTCGTTCTTTCCAGACCTTTGTGTACTGTGTTGGTTCCTGGAATAGCCTTCAGAGTGACTCAGTTTCTGAAAACATAATTTGTGAATATGCCCATTGATGCAGCAAGAATAACCTTGTCACCGTCGGATACAGGGCTCTGCTTGTGGTGCTTTCCAGACTCCTGTGTACTGTTGGTTAGCCACAGATTGTTCTCCAGGACTGTGTTATCACTCTGAAAACTACTTTTATTATGTCTGTGCACCGGGGGAGGGGCGGGGGCTACTACATTACTAGTATTGTACACTTCCACTTTACCCCATTCTGTCGGTTACTGCGGAAGGGGTTAACACACTTGACAATTACTACCTGCAGTGTCACGTGCATATGCGCTCCATACACCTTTTTGCCCTTTTTCCATTTTTCAATGATTTCATTTAAACAAATTTTAAAAAGAGATCAAGTACAAAACACAGTGCACTCTTATAGCAATGTAATAAGTTACATCTCCAAATAGAACAAGAGAGCATATGAATTGCACAAAAATGCATCATGTGAAGTGACGTTAGTTCAAGTAAGAATTGAGAGAGGTGAGATTGAGAGCAGACATGCACTGCCCAAGAGTGGTCCCAGGAACTCTGATACCAAAGGCTCAAGGTATCCGCAAGGATGTTACAGAAAAGGAAAAGAAAAAGCATATGAGGGGAGAGAGAAAGAAAAGGTAGAGAAGAGGAAGGGGGAAAGCTAACAAGGCAAGACAAACTAAACAAGTCAAGATGGGAGATGAGCAGCAGTTTCTGAAAAAGTGAGAGCACAGCCAGCAGTCATAACAACTAACAAGGCAAGAATTGTGTGATCAAATGCAGGAAGGGCAACTGTAAACCAAGACATCCAAATCTTTTTTTTTTTTTTAACTTGTTGTAAGAATCCTTAAAGGCAACTAAACTCGGGTGTTAAATCTTAAAAATGAATTCAAGTACCTGAACTATTAACAAAAATGTAGCTTATTTGTGTATCATTTAGCTGTAGATCTTCAAAATCATCTCTGAATTGATACTGACACTGTCCTTTCTTCTGGAGGGCGGCTACTTTTGTTCCCCATGGTCCCTGTGTGTTGTAAAGTAGCCACCGCTCCAAACTCACTCACATAATAAACTACAGTGTCATGTTTAGTTTACTAATTTGTATTGAGATAGTAGTCTTATCATGTGAGGGAGTTTGGAGTGGTGGCTACTTTACAACACATAGGGGCCATGTGGAACAAAAGAAGCCACACTCCAGAAGGAACGACCGTCCGCACAAATTCAAATTATCTTGTGCCTGGCTAAGAGAAGTACTGTTCATGGGCTACAAGCTAGTTTCATTATCTACCTCTGACCTGCTTTGCTGTCCAACCTACCTGCGTCTCTGCATAGGTTAGCAGACCTCCATGCTGCTGTGGCAGATCTTTTCAACCAGGAAGATATTGCCATCATTCCAACCACAGAAAAGATTCAGGGTTTTCACTCAAACTTTCTTATTGTTCCTCATCTTGGATCTGAAGGCCTTCTACAGAAGGACATCTTCATTAATTTCCCAAAATTCTGCATGGAATCCATCAGGTCTGTCATTGCTTCCCTCCATCATTCTAGCCTCTGTGGACATTAAGAATGCCTAATTGCTTGTCCCCAAATTTCCAGTGTACCATTGCTACCTCTGTTTTGCTGTGGGCTCAAAACAATACCAGTATGCAGCCCTTCCATTTGGTCTTTCTTATGCGCCCCTAATATTCAGCAAGGTACAAGCACCAGTTCTATCATTACTATTACTACTACTAGGAATGGGGCATCCCCACTGTGGGATAACTGGATAATCTCCTATTGCAGAAACAGTCCACATAAATTCTAACTGACAAGGTAATGCAAATAGTCCAGACCCTAAAAAGACTTGTCTGGACCATGAACCCTTTAAAAAAATGGCGCTGGAACCAACTCATCCCTTGAAGTATCTGGGTCTCATTCTATACGCCTGGTCAGGCCAGTGTTTTATCTTTTCCTCATGAAAAACATCTGACCTCTGCTTCCAGATTCGGAATCCATAGTCCTAAAGCCACTCTATACCTCTACAACATAACATTCTGTTGTCGTAGGACTAACCAGTTCAATCTCTAGATAGATCAACTCTCCTGACACCAAAGGCCGGTTGTTCTCTGCCTTGGTGGCTCAGGAATCCAGTTCTGAAGTTTGGGAGACCCTTCTTCTTGTCTTGGGAGATCTAACAACAGATGGTTCAGGACCTGTGGCACAGGTGGGGGATTTCAGATATGGACTTCCTGGTCCAAACTCCACAAATCTGTGCAGGTTTGTCTCTAGATGCTCTAATGACGCCTTAAGATCAGTGTGTCCTTTAATAAACAGATTTTAAGGTAAGTACAAAAATCATTTTTTTTCCATATGTTTCTGACCAGTGTGTTTTGTTCATGGTAGATACTACAAAGATGTAAACAATTGTAAGATCCCATATTTGAAATGATGGTTTATCAAGCTGAAAAAGCACATGACATGTTAAAGTAACCTCTCGCATCATATCACATGTGATGGGAGAAACATGTAGGCTACTATTAATGGCCTCTGTGTGAAAATGCTATTTACCTGGCTGTCAGTGGCTTCAATACTATGGCCAGAAACAAGATACAGATTAATAAAGCAGCTTGATTAATTGGGTCCAATAAGTTGAATCTGATATTCCTACTAAATTAAAAAGGCCATCATAAGAAGTGTGAACTTATTAAAATCTCAAATGAGAAATTCACATTTTTATCAGAATGCCTATGAAAGATAATACACTCTAGAACCCCATAACCCCCACCATAGACCCACAGTACTCCTAGGCACTTTTGTAGACTGATGTAGCCGTGGTTAATACAGTATATTAATCAATATAATGTAATTCTCCACCCCCCCCCCCCCCTGTAGACTAATATCTGGCACCCACGAAGACTTCTATAGAATGCTCTGCTCCCTCAACAGACCCTCAGGATCTCCAGCCCCCTCCAAGGACTGTAATATAATTCCTGGCAGAACCCACAGCCTTTTTATAGACTTGCAGAACCCTCCATCACTGCCCATAAGTCATTAGAGACATCAGCCCTATCTTTAGACTTGCAGACCTACGTCTCCAAGGTCACTCTGTAGACTTTTAGAATTCCCATAACCAACCCATAAGGCAATAGAGACACAAGCCTGCCTCATCACATAGAGCTCTCTTAGCCTCTTCATATATTCACAGAGTTCATTTAGCCATTTGTTTATATAAAAACCCCCATTATCAACCCCTTCCCACAGCCTCACCCATAAGTCAATAGAAACATAAGGCCACTACATAGACTGATAGAACAGAGTCATAGAGCCGGGAAAGAATAACTCTAGAGAGTCATGCAGTCTACAAATGTGATTAGCCTTAGTACATTTCATTCAGTACTCTTTATTCCATCATTTATGACTATATTGTCTTTGATTAATTCTCTTTCAGGTATACAGGCTTTGTTCAGACGTTCATAGAATCTGCTGAGAAGTTTTTCATGGTTGGACATAAAGTAACCTATTATATATTTACTGACCAAGCCAGTGATATTCCTGCCTTCACCCTTCGTGATGGCAGAAAACTGGCAATATTGGAGGTCCCCAGCTACCAGCGTTGGCAAGATGTGTCCATGCGACGGATGGAGATGATCGGTGATCAGTCCCGCCTGAGATTCATCCATGAAGTGGATTATCTAGTGTGTGTGGATGTTGATATGAGGTTCAGTGATGAGGTTGGGGTTGAAATTTTAAGTGATGTTTTTGGGACATTACATCCTGGCTTTTATAGTGCATCACGAGAACAATTTACATATGAGCGCCGAGCACAGTCCACAGCTTACATTCCTAAAGATGAAGGGGACTTTTACTATGCGGGTGGATATTTTGGGGGTACAGTAGAAGAAGTCTACAGGCTGACCAACTTCTGCCATAATGCTATGGTGGCAGATATAGAAAAACAAATTGAAGCCATTTGGCATGATGAAAGCTACTTGAACAAGTATTTTCTATATCAAAAACCAACTAAAATTCTCTCCCCAGAATACCTGTGGGACAATGATTTTGAGGTTCCTGGTTTTCTCAAGAGAAGAAGATTTGTTGCTGTTCCAAAGAACCATAATGCAATCCGCAGCAGACGAGCTCTGCAGGGTGTTTCAGAAGCTGAAGGAAAGTTTCATAGGTGATGGGATTTCGCCTACTGTGAGTCACAGAACTGTTGAAGCAATTTAATTTTTATAGAGAGAGACTTAATCCTGTAGCAGTTAGATGTGCTTGGTATTTCCCAAGATTAGAGGGCATTTTGACAATGTCAGACGTGGCTGCCTTGTGCACACCAGTACTGCTTGGGGCAAGTAATAGATTTTATTAGACTTTTGTAATAATTTTGTGGTGTCAGTACACAATAAATGGCCGTTTAGCAGATTTTATTCACTGACCAGTGAAGGCTGATCCACATCTGGTTCTTTATAATGTATGTGTTTTTTGTTTTTTTTGCTGCTTCAGGGTTCGCCAGGGATCCCTACCAGGTCCATGTTGAGCAAGACAGCAGCAAGATATGCAGGAGTTCTAGGATGCTTTGCATGTCCATCTGTTCTTATGTGATTGCCCTTTGAGGTACCCAGTTTTGTCTTCTGACATAGATACAGCCAGGCCCGGATTTCCCACAAGGCCACTGGGGCCCGGCCTCGGGGCTGCAGAGCGCAGAGGGGCGGCAGCGGTGAGTACGCCCCCGCCCTGCCATCTGGTTGCCATTCTCAATTGATGGGGAGGGGGGCTTGGCGGCGCGCGCGGCGTATTGTGGAACCTGGCCTTGGGGCGGCAGGGGGAGTAAATCCGGCCCTGGATACAGCAGGAATCCTGTTTGTGATCACTTGTTTTTAGAAGATGTCAATGTTTAGCCAATAAAGTGTATGAATAGAGAAAGGAATGGGGTTAGATACCTGTCAAGTTTCTATTGCTGTCTGCCCCTTCTGGGAAGATTCACCCTCTCTCGTTTTCCTGGTGCCCATCTTAGGCAGGAAAAAGGTGATGGGAAATCAAACATTTTACATTTGTCACCAGAAAAGAATGTGAGGAAAAAAGGACCCCCATTCAGATATCAACTGCCTAAGAGGGGAATTCCTCTCATTTCGAAGAATAGCTTCCTACTTAATTTTAGGGTTTTAACCCTTGCCTAGTGTCACAGAGCATGTGATTTATAAATTATTTTGTATTGTATTTGTAACATTTAGCTGAAGCCATTGCATTGTTAGGAGAAGAATTGCATGTGTCTGCGCAGCTGCAGTGTGATGCGTTTTACAGTGATTTTTGACACTTTAAAAAAAAAAGAAGCTTAAAATAGGCTTTCAGGCGCAGTCCAATGCTTTCCAGTGCATTTGCATGTGTTTTTGATGCGTTCCCTTGCGATCAGGTGCAGCTAAAGGGCTTGTTCACACCATGCGCAGATCATGTACAGACCAGAACAGTTTGTTCCCAAAAAAGCATCCCAATGTATTCCTATGGTATTTCGGGGCACTGTTCACACCGGTGCAGTCAGTTCCGGATCAGACAAAAAAAATATTGCTTGTCCCGTTTTATGGAATGCACTGGAACGCATGGAAAAACATCATGGTCAACATCTGGTCTGGAAAATGGTGTGGCGATGCATTGAAGTCAAAACAAAGCCCGCATTCTGGTCCAGTGCAATCTGAAAAAAATAGTGCTTGCAGCATTTTTCCAGATCGCGCTGGACAGGAATGCAGACGCTGATGTGCCACGCATTTTGGTGCGGCCAATCGCACTGTGGATGGAGGGTTGGCTGCGATGCCATTGACTTCAATGCACTGCCCCCTCACGCCCCTGAACGCAGGAAGCCAGCAGGGATGAGTGTAATCCAGCAACTGCCCACTCTGGAACCCACTGTTTATGATGTGCTGTTGCCATACCAGGACGAGACTCTGAGTTCTTTTATGCAAAGGTGAATTTATACACCAATACAGCAATATTGTTTATAGTGGAAAGATACAAGAGTACTCTGCTAAATTGCTCTTGCACTTACAATTTATAGTTTAACAGACTACCCAGGGCGTTACCGTCCCCAGCCAACATGAAGGTGTACGTGTCTTGCTTGCAGTTTTAGATTTAGGTTTAATTATCAGCACATAGTTTATGTGCCATAATTATCTAGACACTAGGAATTCCTAATGAAGGTGAAATGGTAAAATAACAAAAGTGACCATTGTTTTGGACAATAAAGCTAGGGCAGTATTGCCTTGGGCAAAGTACTCAATGAATAAGTGCAAATACAGGTGAAACTCGAATAATTAGAATATCGTGCAAAGTTCATTTATTTCACTAATGCAACTTAAAAGGTGAAACTAATATATGAGATAGACTCATTACATGCAAAGCAAGATAATTCAAGCCGTGATTTGTCATAATTGTGATGATTATGGCTTACAGCTCAGGAAAACACCAAGAACCCCAAATCCACAACCTCAAAAAAGTAGATTATTACATGCAATCAATAAAACAAGGATTGTACATAGAACAATATCGGACCTCTGAAAAGTACAAGCATGCATATGTACTCGGTTTGGGCCCCTTTTGCAGAACTTACTGCAATTACTTTTGCATGATATTCTAATTATTCGAGTTTCACCTGTAAGAGACCAGAATGACAACACATATTCCACACTTCCACCATACACTAATGCCTTTTCCTCACTCAAAGCCCATCCCCAAGGACACCTTACTTGAATGTAGAAAGTTTGTTCCTCCATTGCATAGTTCAAAAGTGCATGCAGGTAAAGGATGGTGAATCTTGAAGCAAAGTTAATACAGGCATAGTATGATAAAATCAAATACAAGGCGGAGTCAAGTAAAGTGCAATCCTGCACCCAGAGGTGTGAACAAACCCTTAACATTTGAAAAGATTTCTGTCTTCACAGTGTGTCTTCTTATGGGAGTGCCAAGGGATGTGTTGATGCACAAGAGGTACTGTTTTGTTGGATCTCGGTCCTGGTTATTACAGAGTATAGGAATATACTTTTGTGATTATCAGCTGGGTAGTTGTAAATAAATATGGATATTTGGGCCTGGAATCTCACTGCAGCTTCATGACCCTTGACACATACTCTATCCAAAATGAAATGTGGGAAAGGGGTGAATAAGTGAACATTAGGTGAATCATAGGTGATAGTATTAAAAAAAAACCTTGGTGCCTCACTCTAGTAACACACTGTGAAACCCAGCAACCCAAAGTTTTAATAATATTGGAGTAAATCAAGTTTGTAGAATGAGCTGGTTACTGAGTTCAATAGATCTTGCACGCACAAATCTTTTGCCACAATATGCTCCGCAGAGAGAGCTATACGTAAACATGCAAGTGACATGGCAGACTTGCTATGTGCAGAGTAGTAGAATGCAAGTGGGTTCTTTTGCCCTCCTATTGCCACCTTGTGGTTGAGAATCCATATGGCCACTATAATGTTGGCAAAAGACCCTCTTTTTCTGTGTCAAGCTGGCCATACACCTATAGAGTATCTGTGGATTTTCTATAGTCAGATGGGGGAAAAGTGCAACAGATTCCTCCATCGATGCTGAACTATGTGGATGGAGGAATCTGCCTCTGGGCCAAGCTTTAGTATCTTGCTAGTCGGCCCCGCAGGCTGTCACAATACCTGAACAATGCCTGCATTCAGTTACATTGCTCAGGTATTTTGACAGTCAACGGGGCCAACTAGCAAGATACTGAAGCTTGGCCCAACGGGAGAATCCTCCATCCACGCACTTTAGCGTAGATGGAGGAATGTGTTGCACATTTTCCATCTGACCATAGAAAATCTGCAGATAATCTATAGGTGTATGGCCAGCTTTAGATGGGCTTTGTGAGGTTGAATGGGGATCTGCCTCCCAAGATTGTAGTTGTGCAGTCAATGTTCAGAGAGGAAGGGTCTGGTCCTGTGCAATCACTTGCATGACGAGTGTTAGAGATTTATTAGCCTGAGTGGGAGCCAGAGGAGATCTCAAGAAAACCATCAAGGACAGGTCCCAACATAATCATTGCAAATTGGTTCTGCTCCGAGTCGTGGCAGGTATTTCCTGTATGAGACCTCTCAATGTTAATCCTAGAAAATTTCAGCTCGGCAAGTTTTAGGCCTGGTTCACACCTGAACGTTTTGTAGCGCGTTCAACGCTCGACGAACGCTCTACAAAATGCTCAAACATCTAAATTCCATTGTATTCAATGGGTCTGGTTCACACATTGCCGTATTTCCGCCCGTCCGAACACGATACAAAACGGCCTACGCCCAAAGAAGTACATGTACTTCTTTGGGGCGTTTTGGTCTCGCGTTTCCATTGGGATACAGCCAAGTAGCCCTCGAGAACGGGCGTTTGTCGCACGTTTTTTTTACCGCGAATCGCGCGACAAACACGCATATTCAATACGCCTAGGTGTGAACCCAGCCTTAGAAACAAACGCATAACACTGTCCGACTGCACTTTTGTAGTAAGGATGGTCAGGAACCAAGTACCCTAAAGCTAAACTCCATCCAAAACAATACAACTTATGTACATATGTGTACCTGCCAAAGCTTTTGTGTCTTCTCCATTCAGTCCTGAGACTTGCACAGCCTTACCCCAGAGTACAGCCAGTCTGATAGCCTCACTGCTGTAGCTCAGCAACACAACTCAGTCTCTTTCCTGCCCCTAAGCCTGTGATTGGACTGTGAAGGAGCAACAAAATCCTGATAAGTTATCTCACTGTTCTCCTGTAAGCGTGTATATTTTCAGCACATGTGACTGCAGTACACGCACGCACAAGCTAAGGATCTATAAGCAAGACTTAGTAAAAATATTAATTTCTACAAATGATTTGTTAAATAAATAAAAATAAGAAGAAATAATTGAATAAAAAGTGATAAAAATAAAGAAACAGTAAAAAAAATTGAAACTAGCCCCGCCCCAAGGCCAGGTTCCACAATACGCCCCCGCCCTGCCATCTGGTTGCCATTCTCAATTGATGGGGAGGGGGGCTTGGCGGCGCGCGCGGCGTATTGTGGAACCTGGCCTTGGGGCGGCAGGGGGAGTAAATCCGGCCCTGGATACAGCAGGAATCCTGTTTGTGATCACTTGTTTTTAGAAGATGTCAATGTTTAGCCAATAAAGTGTATGAATAGAGAAAGGAATGGGGTTAGATACCTGTCAAGTTTCTATTGCTGTCTGCCCCTTCTGGGAAGATTCACCCT